AAAATGTCATCAGCACCTCCGGCTGACAAAAGTTTTTCCACATCCCTGAATTTCAGTAGATCTTCTACAGTTCGGCACAATCATCTTCAAAGTAGGTACACTTACTCCTCTGGGGCTGAGTAAGGCTTTCCAAAGAAGCTTGCGGACAAGAGTATTTTGAAGAAGACAACCTACAGATCTGAAATCCAGTATGTGCTTTTTATCAAATAGCCCTGCCTCACTTCTTGCAACGGTCCATCCCTCAGTTTATAAGAGAAAGGGGGCCCCCTCACTATTACCAGTCTCTCTAGTGTTCTTTGCTCTTGAGTTTAACCTACTGCCCCAGGAAAGGAAAAAGTGAAAATGTTGGTGTTGGTTTAAGTGTAGGGGAGGTGAATGGGTCTAGGAACTCTGTATCAGTTTGTTAGCCTCGCTGTGACAAAGTCCCACAAACCAGTGGTACGAACAACAGAAAGGTAAACCCAAAATCTGGACAGGGATCCTTCCTACTCAGGGCTGCGAGAGAAGGTCATCTCCCAGGCCTTTCGACTTGGTTGGCGGCCTGCCGGCTTCTCCCCAGTGTCTTTACACCCTCCTCCCTCTGTCTCTGTGTCCTGGTTTCCCCTTTTTATAAGGCACCAGTCCTAGTGGATTAGGGTCCAGTTCGGGACCTCACCTTAACTACTTGTATCTGCCACAACATTGTTTCCAAACATAATCACCCTTGGCGGTACCAGTGGTTGGGATTTCAACATGTGAACTTTGGTGGGTACACAGCTCAACCCATAGAAACTGGGTAACAAATCCTCTGCAAGTCAGGTGGTTTTCAATACCTTGCTTTCAGAAAAAACTGAAGGAAAATATTGTGAAGACGTCAGGTCATTAAAACTGTCATTTGATAATGGATTACCATGTGATTTGGGGCAAAAATTCAGGAGTTTCAAAATTTGGAGGACATTTATATAACAAAACTCCATCTCTTTAAGAACAAGGACTTTTCATCTCTAAAAAATGAAAAATAAAATGGATGCTAAACACTTTATCTTTCTAGTGATAAGTAATATTTATCCATACTACATACAGTGTTTAAAAAAGGACATCACCTATTGTATTAAGAAGTGCAAGCTTCCAATAAGACTTTAATTTTCATGTTAGTGTTTATCAAAATATTCTATTCATTTAGGTTGTTTTGAACAATTGTGTAATACTAGTCATTGTAATGATAACTTAATCCAGAAATCATTTAGACCCTATGGTTACAGGAATTTTTTAAATGTATAAATTTTAACTTTTATACAAATGTTTGATAGATTTAAAATATAATGGGATATTCAGTAAAAGATGTTCAATCATAAACATTACACTAGCATAAAATGTTGAAGAGGAAGTAGAATGGGAATAAAATTTCAAACATAGAAGGCATGGTAGAAATAGAGGGAAGGCAGGAAGTTACATATAGTTTTTGCTTGCTGAAGAGAAGCTTGTGGGTGTATTTCTTAAATGGATGATAGTGGATAGCAAACTATTATAAGATTTAAATTCCATTTGGATACATTTAAAACTGATGTAACCATTTAATTTTAAAATGTCAATGTTTACAATATGCTACAAATTATATTCTTTGCACCTGTTTAAATTATGATAAAATTATAAATATCAAATTTTAAATTTGCAAAGAAGAGCATAGTTTTCTGAACTATTTCAGGGTCTTTGAGCAAAGACTTTAACTCTTATAAAGTGCCAGATTTTGTATTGTTCTTTAGGTGTCCCGGTGATTCAGAATGTGTTCTGCTGCAGCTCACTGTTAATCCAGAGCAGTTTACTGAGTTTGGGTCTTAACCTGGTTCTGTCACCATTTCCACCCACAAATGGAATGGTGGAATTGGATGCATGCTGGCCATCTTGAGTTCCTTTCTGGCTGAGGGACAGCAAGTCAGCTTGAAAAGTTGCCAGGGTCTTCGAACCACAATGAGATACCACTGTACACCTATTAGGATGGCTATATCAGAGAGAACAAAAAGAAAGAAGGAAGAAAGGAAAGGAAGGAGGAAGAAGGGAGTGAGGGAGGGAACGCAAAGAGAAGGAAAGAAAAGTGCTGGTGGGGATGTGAAGAAATTAGAACTCTTGGGCAATGCTGTTGGGAATGTAAAATGGTGCAACCACTGTGAGAAACAGTATGGCAGTCCCTCAAAAAATTAAAAATAGAATTACCATATGATCTAGCAAATCCACTTCTAGGTATATACTCAAAAGAATTGAAAGCAGGAGTTCAGATAGGTATTTGTTTACCAGTATTCCTAGCATTATTCACAATAGCCAGGAAGTGGAAACAACACATATACCTATCAACGGAAGAATGGATAGACAAAATGTAGTAGATACAGACGTAGGAGTGTTTTCAGGCTGAAAAAAGAAGGAAATTCTGACATGTTACAACATGGATGAACTTTGAAATCTCTATGATAAGTAAGCTAGTCACAAAATGAAAAATATTGTGTTGATTCTATATACATGAGGTACTTTGAATAGTCAAATTCACAGAGCAGCAAGTAGAATGGTTTCCAGGGGCTGGAGAGAGAAAAATGGGAAGTAATGGCTTAATATCAATATTATTGTTACAGTATCTTATTGTTTAATAAGTACAGAGCTTCAGTTTTGCACAATGGAAAGACTTCTAGAGATGGACGGTGGTAATGGTTATATAATATTAATGTACTAAATGCCACTTTTCAAATTGCACATTTAAAAACTGCACATTTTAAAATGGCTAAAATGATCAGTTTTATGCCATGTATTTTTACCACATTTTTTTAAAGTACATGTTCTCTGAACTCAGAGGGACCTAAATTCAGATCCAACATCTGCTAGATGTGTGACCTTGAACAAGTTTCTTAAACTCCGTGAGTCCCAGAAAGGACACAGAAATGCCCAAGTTGGGGAATTGCTACGAGAATTAAAACACGAACAGATCGGTAGTAACCCTGAGGTGTGCCGCAGAGATGGTGTCTCCAGCGGTGACCGTTCCGTGTCACTGAGGTGCCGCTGCCCCGATGCTACGGGGGTGACCGCGGGGGGCCCACAGGCGCAAACCTCTTCAAGCATCGCCCGCAAGGGAGCTGCCTCGCACAGACTTCATAGCCCGCCTTGGGAGACAGCAACTGACGCCGGCGTACAGGGTCCGGCCTTCGCCTCCGTTTGGGAACACGCTGAAGGGCCATCCCAACCCCACCGCTTCCAGCAGGACCCGCCGACGTGTCCACTGAGTGAACACGCGTCTGCCTCTACCCAGGCCTGCTTCTCTCACCCGCTCACAGTCACGGGACACTAAGTCCCCAGCATGTAGAGCTCCACCTCGGAGTCCGTTCCCAGGTGACCCTCCCCGGCCCAGAGTGTCCTGAGAGCGTCCCCTTGTCCTCAGAGTGAAGCCTGAAATGCTGGTCGTTGCCTGTCTGCCCGCTGCTTCGGCCCGCCGTCTCTCAGCCCGTCGCAGCCACCCTGGGCCTGCAGTGTACGCGCGCGCTCCGCTCGGTCCGCCGCTGCTCGCTTGCTGTTCTCTCTGCCTGGGGACACCCAGCCTCACAGCCGCGCACAGCCCACTTCGCTCCTCTAGCTCACGTCCTCAGAGCTGCTTCCCCTGAAACATCCCCTACACGGTCTCAAATCCCTCTCTGGCCTTTTACCCTGCTTTCCTGCATGTAGCATAATGTAAAGTGATTTATATACCCACATGCTCATAAGCATCAGAACGCAGGTTCCCCAAAGGTGGGGTCCTCTTCCTCGTTCAGCCTGAGGTGTTCCCAGCAACCAGGATGCCTGGCACAGAATTGGCACTTTGTGAAAAGCGTTCATGAATTAGATGATATACTATAAACACATCAGTCCTAAAGGAAATCAACCCTGAGTATTCATTGGAAGGAATGATGCTGAAGCTGAAACTCCAATACTTTGGCCACCTGTTGCAAACATCGGAGAAGACCCTGATGCTGGGAAAGGTTGACAGCAGGAAGAGAAGGGGATGACAGAGGATGAGATGGTTGGATGGCATCACCGACTCGATGGACATGAGTTTGAGCAAACTCTGGGAGATGAAGGACAGGGAAGTCTGGTGTGCTGCAGTGCAGAGTCAGACATAACTGAGCAACAATAGTGCAAAGCACGAGCCAGGGGCTCAACAGATGGTGTCTGTTATTATTTTACTATATTTCTTGTCTGTCCAACTTAGTGAATGTCAGATAGAGTCCTTCTTTTTGGATTCCTTTTTATAGTACTAGCACAAAATCACTCAATAAATAAATACTTTTTAGCTGTACTTGACTTGTTTCTAAAGCCTACAGTGAGGGGGAACTGAGGCTATTCTTGTCCAAGCTGGCTGGCTGGCTCCACGTTGTTTGAATGACCAAGATTCTAACACATCATGTCAGGTCTTCATTAAAATGAACTGTAGTCAAACTCCACCCATCACTTCCAAGGGAGAGAAGAAAGCAGCTTCCCACAAAAGTCATCCTGGCCACTGCTTGAGGCAGAGGGTCACTATGAGGCCCTATGTGACATCTCTTCACTCTAATCATCGAATGCCATAAATATTAGATCATCTTCTAGAAACTACAAGAAAGGAGGTAATAGATAGGATCTCTGCCCCCAAATCACTTAAAATCCAAACTTGTCAGAGCAGAAGAGAGGCCCCCTTATTTCTCTCCTGTTCCCCACCAGCTCTCCACCGCCCTTGACAATGTCCCCTCTCCCCTCAAGTCTGATGGGAACATAGTGCCTGGCATTCCTACATGGTTGACATCCATGTTCTTGGCTGCATGATGACAGTGCATTTTACAGATTATCTGGGACACAGTGTCTCCTGCTTTGCCACAGCCAGGGAGCAGCTAATATGTACTTTAAATGCTTACTTTGTTTAAATGTACTTTGTTTCCTTACTGTAGTTATCATGTATCTCTGTACTGCAAAGTCAGCCCTCAGGAGGCTGTGTAGAAGCTGGTGATAATTCTTGGCTCTTCTCCTTTTTGCAGATGCAAGACAGTCTAAGAAAGGGAAGCTATGTCCACTACCACTAGGAGTGCATACAAAGGAGGACTGCCTGCCAGCACAGTTAGGGAAATTCAATTCATTTTGTAATTTAATCCCCAGCACAACACTCTGAGGTAGGTGGTGGTATTGTCCATTTACAGATGAAGAAAGAAGGTTAGAGATTAAGTAATGTATGTTGGGTCACCCAGATGATAAGCAGCAAATCAGGATTTAAACTAAGCTTTCTCTGTTTCCAAAGACGCTTCTAAGACCATGCTATACCGCTGTGCACCTTCAGGCTGGTTACTTAACTTTCTTGGGCCCAAGCTTGGTTAACCACCTTAATAGCTCCCACTCTACCCTGGATACGTTTTTTTTTTAAGCCATAAAAAGTTGCCCAACCAAATTACAAATATTACAAAGCTACAATAGTCATAAAGTTAAAAGAGAATGGTAAGCAAAGGAGCAGTAGAGTTCAGAAATAAACTCGGGTGTATGATAAAGGGAGCATTTCGGATCATTTCAAATGGAAGAAAAATGGATTATTCTATAAATGGTGTTGGGAAACCTGGTTAGTAAAACAACTAGTTGGCATCCAATAAGTGATTATAATCTGTACATCAAACAGTTATTATCTAACACACATTGTCCAGCTCCTGCGTGACTATGGAGACAAGAGTTTCGGGATCACTGTTTGAGTTCTGGACTTTCTAAGTATCTGACCTATACAGCACTCTGATCTTAATCTGTCACGTGATCTCACAAAATAGTTCCAATTTAAAGTGTTTTCACTACCCTATTAGTGCAGGGCGGGTACTGTTATTTCCATCTTCTATATAAAGACACTGAGGCTTGGAGAGGTTAGGTTCACAGTCGGCGTGCAAGGAGAAACTTCAACACCAGTTTACTGATTCCTTGTCTATTATTCCTTGTGTCACTGTCTTACTGTCAGAGTCAATGTATAATCTCTCCCTCACTTTCACACCCACACAATTTAAACCATGGAAAACAAATAACATCACTCCATTAACACAACAACTATGTTAATTTCTCTGGATTCTTGATCACTTGTTACCCATAACACACATATTTAACATAATTGCAGTCATAGTTTAATTACAAGTTAGTGACCCATTTTCCCACTTAACACTGTTATCCTAAGTCGTCAGTGCTGTTTACAGTTTTGAGCAAATGACTGATGCACATCTTGATGGTCTCTCACACGCTCCTCTTCGTTAAACCCATCCATGTAAATCTCCATTTCTAATCCAATTGCTTTTAAATGAATTTCTTTCACAGGAGTGAGTGCGCGCAGTCATGTTCCTCAAACAGGCAGCCATTTGTCTCCCTTCCCTCAAGGACAGGTCCTGTTTCTTTTCCCAGAGTCCATGGGTCCCTCTACATGCTCACTGTATTTGGTTCCCTCTGCTTCCAGAGTTTCTCTCCAGGAACTCCTCTTCTGCAGACTCTCCTCTGGGTGTGAGCAGCGGAAGGGGGCGTCTGTTGCCTTCTGGGAGCTGATGACCATTGCATTCATTCCTGTTAAGGATTCTCTCTCTGTTCCTTTTTTAACCTGTGGCTTCCCAGTTTAGCTTCCTCAGGACAGTCATCACCAAAACCATGACTCACCCGCATGGTTTCCTCCCTGGCCAGGGACAAATTTCAAACTGAACATTTTCATCACCATTATGTATACAGTATGATTCATGGAGAACAGACTCTGCTTAGAGTATTAAATAAATGATTGTTTTCAATCAGCCACGCTGGTTGTTTAAAGAGAGACACATTTCTCATACTTAATGCTCTATTCTCCCCATTTCAGGAGATGAAAATGGCCTCATAGAAACATACCCTGAGTTGACTGGTCTCTGTTTAAAAACAAGTATATAAAGAGAGACATGGGGAAAAACATATTTTTTGATCAGTGCCTGTCCTAAATATTCCATAAGGTCAAGTTCAGTCTACTTAAGGAGTTATGAGGTCTCAACTAGGCACTACTTACATAGGTTATCAAATACCTATGGAATGTCTGTGCACAAGTCTGTTAGATCTTGAAAGGACATACAGTCTCTGCTCTCAAGAAGTCGATTCTCTACGACCAGTTGTCTGGAAGACACACACTGGCAAAAATCTGCCAAAAGAGTGTGAGATAAAAAGAAAGTTGTGACATTTTTACAAAATGTTGATTTAGATCAGGGTTGTAACCGTGAAGTGCTTATACTTAATTGAAATGGAGATAACTAAGCTACAAAATAATAATAACAATAATAATAACTGAGACAGATGCTGTTATGATTTGGTTTTGCTTTCAGACAGTTAGTTGTAAAACATTTGTGCAAGAGGAAGAGTCGGATTTGTTTTGGTTTTTTTTTCCTAAGGACATACGCAATCAATAAAGACAACTATTTTCCCTTTCACCGTTATGGAGCCTTTCCTGAAGAAAGGAACTCTAATTCCATTTCGGGAGCAAAGAAGGAAGATGTATGATTTAGTACACCCCAGATTGATTGTAACTTTTCTTAACTCAGCAAAGATGGGTTAGGAATGTCCAAGTATATTGGAATGTTATGCTTCTGTGAGGCATGAGCATTGCCAGTAGTTGAAAGTTATGGTAGCTGTGATTCAACAGGGGAGCAGCAGCCTCGACCGGAGAAAAACGTAGCACTATAGTAACAAGCCAAATTGCTGGCATTGTCAGTAGCTGTGATTTCACTTTATTGATTGTCTCCTGTGAAACATGAGGCTCTTTATTTGAATCATTTGTATAGGTGTCATATCAGGTTAATTGCAAAGCAATTGGATTTAATAATAATATCACTGTGTATCCATGTACATCGATTCTTAGAATCATGAGATGTGAATTGCACTTGATCATGAGGTATTGTGATCCAATGCAGTGGGATGAGCCAGTCCCAGGCTGATCGTGTAAATTTAAGCAGCCCAGAGTGAGCTTTAACTTATATGCCAGTTTGGATTGTTACTGCAAATATTTTATAGGTCTGGAACATGATTAGTTATAAATGGGATGCCCTTGAACTTGAATTGTTTTAAAAAGCATAACTTTAGGTTGAGTTAATGGCGTGCTGTTAAGATTGGTACCAGTATAAACACAGAGAATGAAGGCTTTCTGTTGGCCACGCTTTCTTACACATTTTCAAGGTTGTTGAAATTATTTCACTCTTGGGCTGCTTTGTCCTTGTTAGTCCACTGAGTAAGGAATGTAAGGTGGTTCTCAAAGTGGACAGAAGTTCCCTGAAAAGCAAGGTCACATACCGAATAAACGTAGCAATGACCAAGTTCATCATTTCATCACAGCTAAAGAAACAACATCAAAAAAAAAAAAAAATTGGAATGAACGAGGGAAAAAAAAAAAAAGAAACAACATCATTATAGATTTGCATGATTATACTTATGCTTAAAATTAGTGGATATTTCCCACTTTTTCAGCTGAAGGACATTCCTTTCCAAGAGGGTTGAAACAGGGGAAAAAGTAGATTTTGTGGGAAAACTTCACATTCATATGTTGAAAACAAAGCTTGAGGAAAACAATTAAGACAAATCTAAATAGGAAAGTTTAGGAGGTCTCAGAGATAGAAGGGAGAGGAGGAGGAGGAGAATGAGGAAAGAATAAGTCACAAAGCCACATGCAGTAGCACGGTATATATGGGCTGCCACAATGTCGGCACCCAATGAGTGCCCTTGAATCAGTGACCTGATTAAACCAAGACTTTTTAAAAGTCGTGAGGAAAGTTAGTAATGAATCGAAATATATTGCCTAGATTGCTGTCTTTAATGCACTTCAACAGGAGCAAGAAACATTTTTGTCTAGGCCAGACTTTGCTACATGAAAAGTGGAAGTGTCAGTCGCTCAGTTATGTCTGACTCTTTACGACTCCGTGAACTGTAACCCGCCAGGCTTCTCTGTCCGTGGGATTTCCCAGGCGAAAATACGGGAGTGGGTTGCCATGCCCTCCTCCAGGGGACCTTCCCGACTCAGGGATCAGACCCTGGTCTCCTGCTTTGCAGGCAGAGTCTTTACCGTCTGAGCCAACAAGGAATCCCTAGGTATGTGAATTTACATTAAATTATTGTCTTCAACAGTTATATTTACTTTGTCTTGCCATTTTATCTGGCACACTTGCCACAACTTTTTTTCCCAGTCTTTTGACGTTTTGTGGTTCAGCTGGTAAAGAATCTGCCTGCAATGAGGAAGACCTGGGTTCGATCCCTGGGTTGGGAAGATCCCTTGGAGAAGGGAAAGGCTACCCACTCCATTATTCTGACCTGGAAAATTCCATGGACCATACAGTCCATGGGGTTGCAAAGAGTCGGACACAACTGAGTGACTTTTACTTCACCAGCATTTTGGAGAGATCACTGGAAGAATCACTGACTTCTGCAGTTCATCCAAACCAGAATGTAGAACCATTCCCCTAAACCTAAATGCATCTCATTTCCCTTCTGCTTTGATGAAGCCAACTTTCTCACCAGCTTAAAGGCAATTTAGGGGACGGGAGGGTGGTACCAAATCAAAAACAAAACTAAATGTATTTAATAAGTGTATCTATCTCGTAAGATATAACTATGTTTATTAGTGCCCACAGGTTGCTCTTTCTATGAGCACAAACCCTACAAAGTGGTTTTTAACCATTTTTCAGAAACAGGTTTGAAAAAATGTGTTAACTGGCTGAGACGCAGGTCCTGTCTAAACACTAATGAGTTCTATGACCGTGTGTTCAGAGCTGCTGTGACCCACAGTCGAAAGCTGAGTCCACTGAAAGGACAGCAGTGACAGGAGATGAGAAAAGAAGCCACTTTCTGCTGTCACAGGCCTCTGTTTGGTATGAACATAGTGATAATATTGTATTATTAGTATTATTAGTATTATTGTATTATTAGTCCTCCTGAGGAGGACTGAAGGAACTGAAAGTGGAAGGCGCTCAGTCGTGTCCAACTCTTTGTGACCCCATAAACAATATGGTCCATGGAATTCTCCAGGCCAGAATATTGGAGTGGATAGCCTTTCCCTTCTCCAGGGCATCTTCCCAACCCAGGTATCAAACCCAGGTCTCCCACATTGCAGGTGGATTCTTTACCAGCTGAGCCACAAGGGAAGTCCAAGAACACTGGAGTGGGCAGCCTATCCCTTCTCCAGTGGATCTTCCCGACCCAGGAATCAAACCAGGGTCTCCTGCATTGCAGGAGGATTCTTTACCAACTGAGTCATCAGGCAAGCCGTAAGGAAGGAACCTAGACAATTCTAACAGCAAAGTGTGAGATTACATACACCATCAAGAGGAAGACTTCGTATTCATGAATATAGTTCAGTGCATGGTATTTTTTGGTGTAATGAGGATAGCAGGAATGAGAATCCTTCTGTCATGCCCACAGTTGCATCTCTTTGGCCTTGTGATTTCACCATGTCGTTGCCAGACACTGGATTTTCTTAATTAAAGTGAGACTCTTGTTGAATGAAAACAATAAAATGAAGAGATTCAAGTAAGAATCAACAAAAGAAAAATGACTCTAAAACAATGAATCTTGCCTTACTATTCATATTTTTATGTAGCCCTTTCTAAACACTCCTATGTAGTATAGCAGTTTTAAACTGTTATGATGAATTTTGGACCCAAGACCCAAGAAAAGTTAAAAATGATCAAATGTTTTCCTTCTATGGAGATGCTTCCTCTGAATGGATTCATGGTTTTACATTCTGTGTATTCCATAGGCACCTTTTTCTTTGTCCATAAACATTTTATTCATAGCCTAGAAAGAAATAAAACCCTGAAAATCTAGTTTGCTTTTAGTTCTTGCCAGGAAAATCCCATGGACAGGGGAGCCTGGTGGGCTACAGTCCACAGGGTCACAAAGATTAGGACATGACTGAACAAGTGAACACACACACACACTCTCTCAATACCCCCTCCCTTTTCCTACCTTATTTCTATCATAGCCTTGTCACTATCTTGGTGGAGAAAAACTAAGTCTACCATGTTTGAGCAAAATCTCACCAAACTGCTCTGTGTCCTGTATCCTGTGCCCCAGGGGCAGACACCAGCTGGAAAGACGAGGCTGGGGAGATGGAAGGAGTAGGGGAGAGTGACACAACGTGACCTGGCAGCCCTCTCTTAAGCTAGAGTTTCTATCTTATGAAAGATTTACAATTTTTATCCTGTCACAGAACAAATAGTACCATAACTTTTGTTTCACAATCTATGCAGCCGATTGCACGTACTGATTGCATGTTTCTTGTTCTATCACATTTCCAACCGTTGCAAATATTTCCTCCCCTGGGATGTCAGGATGTCATATGAGTTTACCATGGGGCCGGGGGGTAGGGAAGGGTCCGACAACGTGGACAGATAGCCGTTGATTAGATGACGGGAGATGACGCTTACTTGCTGCTCTGCCCAGTCCCAATGCCTGCTCTGATTAAGCACTGATCCACTTGACTCATTGCTTAGCCATCCCCTATTTCACTTCCATGCACTCATTCATGTCCACATTGACCATATTTCAAACCCACCAGCTCTAGCAATTATGAACATACTTGGAGGACCATGGTCATATTTGAAATCAAAACTGACTCAGAAGGTCTAGAACATTATGCTCATATACAGGGCATTTCTTCCTGTTCATCCATCCATAAAAACCTACCCCATTTCTAGAGACTCACTTAGGTGCTCCTCCTTCAAGAAAACTCTTTTTAACTATTCCAGTGTACGTAACTCCTTCTGAACTAATAGTCTGTAAAATGTTGCCTTATATTACAATGGTGATTTATATCTACTGAATGTCTTATAATGTTATAACCTCATCCTTACTTTTTTTAAACCATGTAATATAAGCTATGCACTTGTTATTCTGATAAAAACATAAAAGAGGGAAGCTTTTAAAAGTATGCTACATGTGTGTTATACATATGTGTATATATATATATAACAGCTTTTGAAAATGAAATTAACACAGCTTTCATGGTATGTATAACTGTTTGCTATTATTTAAGCACTATTCAGCATGGCATGATATATAGTGTTGTAGTTTTTCATTATCTAAGGCAGTTTCTGTTTATAAATTATTTTGTCTACTCCCTTGGCACTCCAAAAAAGACACATCTGTAATCCAATTTATTTAAGCAATTATAGATGAAGGCATAGATTGGGGAGGATCTACCTGAAGATCCTCTGTGTCAGTTAGAAATTTCAAACCAAGATGAGAACATTTACATGACGCCTATTTCCTGTGCCACTCTAGAGGCACAGTTGTTACCTAATAATTGGTGCCCTATATTTTTCTTGCCTCTTTGTTTACGATCTCTATTTTCTAATAGCCTTATGCCACTTTGGAGTTTGGGGATCAAATTTTACCTTCCCCTTTGGGGATCAAACATTTTCTACTTGAACAAATACAAAGAACATACAATTTCTAATATCAATACTCACTTTATCAAAAAGTTTATTTTTACTGTGAACTGAAATCTAATTCATTGCCTCTGACTTCTTTCTTTTTTTATTGGAATATAGTTGATTTACAATGTTGTGTTAGCTTCAGGTATATAGCATACTAATTCAGTTGTGTGTGTATATTATGTTCTTTTTCAAATTCTTTTCCATTATAAGTTATGACAAGATATTGATTATAGTTCCCTGTGCTATACAGTAGGTCCTTGTTTATCTATTTTATATACAGTAGTGTGTATATGTTAATTCCATACTCCTAGGTTATCCTTCTCCCCCCTTTCCCCTTTGGTAACCATAGTTTTCTATGTCTATAAGTCTGTTTCTGTTTTGTAAATAAGTTCAGTTGTATCTTTTTAAAGATTCCACATATCAGTTCAGTTCAGTTCTGTTGCTCAGTCATGTCCGGCTCTTTGCAACCCCATGAATCGCAGCACGCCAGGCCTCCCTGTCCATCACAAACTCCCGGAGTCTACCCAAACCCATGCCCATCGAGTTGGTGATGACATCCAGCCATCTCATCCTCTGTCATCCCCTTCTCCTCCTGCCCCCAATCCCTCCCAGCTACAGGGTTTTTTCCAATGAGTCAACTCTTCACATGAGGTGGCCAAAGTACTGGAGTTTCAGCTTCAGCATCAGTCCTTCCAGTGAACACCCAGGACTGATCACCTTTAGGATGGACTGGTTGGATCTCCTTGCAGTCCAAGGGACTCTCAAGAGTCCTCTCCAAAACCGCAGTTCAAAAGCATTAATTTTTTGGTGCTCAGCTTTCTTCACAGTCCAACTCTCACATCCATACATGACCACTGGAAAAACCATAGCCTTGACCAGATGGACCTTTGTTGGCAAAGTAATGTCTCTGCTTTTTAATATGCTTTTTAATATGTCTAGGTTGGTCATAACTTTCCTTCCAAGGAGTAAACATCTTTTAATTTCATGGCTGCAGTCACCATCTGCAGTGACTTTGAGCCCAAAAAAATAAAGTCTGACACTGTTTCCACTGTTTCCCCATCTATTTCCCATGAGGTGATAGGACCAGATGCCATAATCTTAGTTTTCTGAATGTTGAGCTTTAAGCCAACTTTTTCACTCTGCTCTTTCACTTTCATCAAGAGGCTTTTTAGTTCCTCTTCACTTTCTGCCATAAGGGTTGTGTCATCTGCATATCTGAGGTTATTGATATTTCTCCCGGCAATCTTGATTCCAGCTTGTGCTTCATCCAGCCCAGCGTTTCTCATGATGTACTCCGCACATAAGTTAAATAAGCAGGGTGACAATATACAGCGTTGACGTACTCCTTTTCCTATTTGGAACCAGTCTGTTGTTCCATGTCCAGTTCTAACTGTTGCTTCCTGACCTGCATACAGGTTTCTCATACGTGGAATCAAATGATACTTGTCTTTCTCTGTCAGACTTACTTCATATACTATGATAACCTCTAGATCCATCCATGTTGCTGCAGATGGCATTATTTCATTCATGGTTGAGTAATATATATATGAAAGTGAAGTGAAAATGAAAGTCGCTCAGTCATGAACTCTTTGCAACCCCATGGACTATACAGTCCAAGGAATACTCCAGGCCAGAATACTGGAGTGGGTAGCCTTTCCCTTCTCCAGGGGATCTTTCCAACCCAGGGATCAAACCCAGGTCTCCCACATTGCAGGCAGATTCTATACCAGCTGAGCCACAAGGGAAGCCAAATATATATATTTATACACACACACACAAACACACAGTCCTCTTTATCATTTGCATGTCAGTGGACATTTAGGTTGCTTCCATGGTTTGCATTTTCCCTAACTTCTAAACTTTGGAACTAGATATGTTCTCTGAAGGAATAAAAATAAATGTACTCCCACTTTCCCATGGAAGTCCTTCACCTTCATACATGTGTAGCTTTTAGCCTGTTCCACAGGAGTATTCTCTTCTCAAGCTAAACATACTCAACTCTTCCTGTGGTTCTTCTAAGCATTTCAGCTTTCTTCTTCATTCATTCCATCAAGTGTCATTGAAGATCCACCATGTTTAAAGCATCATGTTGGGTGCTGTCTACAATGATGAGCAAAACAGACATAGTTCTCTTTTGGAACAGACAGGGATCTCAGAGTCAGGACAGGGAAGTCAGACATTCATCACCGAATCACACCAGTGGGTTGATAATTAAAAGATCATATTAGTGCTCTGAAGGAAAAGAATACATTTCTCTGCAAGCACAGGACAAAGGAAGCCAACCTAGGCTGGGGGGACCAGGGTAAGTTTCTGGGTAGAAGTGACAACCTAGCAGAGACATGAAGAAATAGTGGAGTAAAAGGGGGAAACGAGGACAGGCATGAGAACAGATAGGATCCGCATGTTCAAGGACCCTGAAAAAACAAAGTGTGTGGCCTATTCAAAGAATGAAAGAATAATGTAGTTAGAGTACAGGCAGTGAGTGGTAGGGAGGTGATAGTTCAGACATCACCAGGAATCTTGTAGGCCTGCTAAGTTCTTTATCCTCAGAACAATAGAAAGTCACTGAAGAGTATGGTAAATTGCATTCTTGGTCACCAAATATTCTGGCTTCACTTCCTCCAGCATTTCTCCCTGTGAAAAGATTATGCATCCCTCCCTACTGAACTCAGAAGAGACTTTGTGGGACTTCCCTGGTGGTCCAGTGGATAAAAATCTGCCCTCCAGTGCAGGGGACACAGGCTCGATTCTCGGTCTGGGAAGATCCCACATGCTGCGGAGCAAGTAAGGCCACAGACCACAACTACTGAGCCCACGTGCCTACAACCTGTGCAGCAAGAGAAAAGCCACGGCAACGAGAGCCCGCGCACCGCCAAGAGGAGACCCCGCTAAATAAAATTGTTAAAAATAAAAAGAAGAGACTTTGTGACCTGCCTGCCAATGAAATGCGGGCAGCGGTGACATGTGTCCCTTTCAGATGGAAGCTTTAAGAGCCAGCATGCAGATCACACTTTCTCTTCAGTCACTGTCATTGTCACAGTGACCAGCAGCATTCCCACACAGAGCCTGCTTCATCAGCTTGAATCCCAAAGTGGGATTTCCACGGAGCAAAGCCACAGATATGTTGTGAATGAGCAGTAAGCTGCTGCTGTTGAAAGCTAACGAGATTTCTGCGGTTGTTATTACAGTATTACCTAATTTATCCTGACAGATACAAAGGATTTTGCGAGGCCCAAGGGAACATGACAAATTTGTGTTTGGAAAAGATGAGCAACTACTATTCAGAAAGCCCAATAGATTATTGAAAAGAAACAAAGTAGGTTCTGGAAAACAAATCAGGCATTTATTACATTAAGCCAAGTAATTGCACAATGGTGAACACAGAGATACAAAAATGTAGATATAGCCGAAAGCTATTTAGGAGGTAAACTTTTCAGGGTTTGGGGATAGATTTGGATCCTTGGCAGAAAAGCAGAATGAAGAGATGAGGGTATTGGGGAGGATGCTGAAGTTTCTGGCTAGGTTTCCGATGAACACTGGTGACTTACAACGAAAATGGGCAAAACTGAAAGAGGACAGCACTTGAGGGAAAAGACCATGCAGTTTAGAACATGCTGAATCTGTGGCACCTTTGAGACAACAAAGGTTGTTGAGTAAGCAGTTGGCTCTAGGTTTAGGATTCAAAGGGAAGGTCAGGTTGGAGGAGAACTTTAGGAATCACTGGCATATAGGTAGTAACCATGGGAAGCAGTGAGTTTGCCAGGTAGAGAGTAAACAGTAAAAACAAAAAGAGTGAGAGAGCAAAAAGAGAAAAGGACTTGAGGAATAAGTGTCGAGACCTCCAACATTTAACATCTGGCTGATAAACTTATCAAAAAGGATTAGCCAGAGAGGAGGGAAGAGAATCAAAAGGATATGGCACCTCATAAGGTAAAAGGAAAGAGCGTTTTTCACAAAGGAGAGAGTGATTCAATGTCAAGGCTGCTCAGAACTCAGGAAAGATGGGGACCAAGGACTCTCCACTGGGTTGAGCAGCGTAAAGGTCCCCGGAGGCCTTTGCCATAGTCAGCTGTTGCCAGAATGGTGAGGTGCCACACACGGCCCTTGGTGTCCCTGCTGGCCTTTGCTCAGGACACGAGCGGGGCTGGGTCTGGGCACTCCCCGTACAGCCTCCTCGCACTAGGGTCAATCTCTAGCGTCAGTCCTGCTGACAGGCGCGCACGAACATTCACTAACACACTCCTTGTGCTACCCAGTTGCGTGTCCTGCCCCCTTTCTCCACCCTCTGCAAAGGTTAAAAAAAAATTCTAGCTCCAAACCATGATAAAACCATTATTTAACATCATTTTGTGGGTATTTAGGAAAATAACTACACATGCCATGATATTCAGTTACAAAACTCAACACTCAAAAACTTTATTCCTATTAATTTAATCTAATTAAAAGTAAATACCAAAACCCACATGGAATGTTTAAAAAAAATTTCTGCTGATTAAAATGTACATATGTTCTTTTAAATTAGAATAGTTTTGTTTTGTTTGCTGGGGGAGGATTTAGGAGGTAGGGATAAAGAAAGAATCTCCCTTACTTTTTTAAATTTAAGTATAGTTAATTTACAATGTTATATTAGTTTCAGGTATACAGCAAAGTGATCCAGTTATATGTATATATCTATTCTTTGTCAGATTTTTTTCCACTTTAGGTTATTACAGGACATTAAACATAGTTTCTTGTGCTATACAGTAGTACCTGTTCATCTCAAACTTAATTTATCCTTCCCCCACCCCTCTTCTCCTTTGTTAACCATTTCTTATTTTTCTTAATTTCTGGTCCAGATTACTCCTCCAAGTATCATGAGTGCATATTTCTGGCTTATTCACTTATAAAATAATCTTATTCTTTTTGTCTTTTGAACTGCCTCTCAGATCTGGCCTTTTGTCTGTTATTTCTGCCACCTCTTGCTTCTGTCTTTGCCCCTTCTCCAATGAGTTTTGCATAAGTGCCTGCCTGCCAGAATCCTATTCTTAAAAATTCCATTTTAATAATTTCTCCACCCCTTCAAGAACTTAGAATGACTCCCTTAGTTCCCATCACGTGAAATGTAAAGTTCTCTGCTTAGAACACTGGACTCAGTACAATCTATCCTCATCCAACTACCCCATCCCCCACCCACAGTACAGTTTCTGCTCCATTCAGGCTAGCATCAGAACCAGGGGCCACACTCCTATTTGCCTTTTCTCTGTGCTTTGGGACCCACCTCCCCTTTGGCTGAAATGACCTCTGCTAGTCCCTTCACATAACCAGACAAACCCATCTTTCAAGGCCTTGTAGGAAAAATCTGCATGTAGAAATTGCTTACCTTCTATAAGAAATTTGGCAGTTTTACCACATTTTATGGAGACTTTACATGAATCATGTCATGGAATACTCAGAATAGACCCTTTGGTAGACAGCATTTTGCATATGATGGAAGTAAGGATTAAGTTCATCTGTGGAAAAGCACCTAGCACAGTGTCTACCCATGATAAGGAGCTGGTAAATGCTGACTGTCGTTACGCTTACTAGAGAGATTTAGTAATTCCTCCAGGTCACACAGCTGTAAGTGAAAGAGCTAGAACTCAAACTCTGGCTTCAGAGCCCACTCTTGCACTTTGACAAGCGCAGCAATGCTCTGTCTGCACTGATGCTACCTTGCCAACCTTCCTCAGCTGTTACAGTCAACAGTGATTCCTGCTGTCTGAATTCCTTAGCACTTGGAGTGTCTGGTTTGTGCTTGATGGCTATCTTGCTTGGACTTCTCTTTTTCTTCAATATATATATTATGTTACTAAAGACGAGTGGTGTACAGACAACGTCTACCAACCAGCTCTCAGAGAGGCGAAGGGGCTGATTCATAGTGTTTGCTGATTTCAGTGGTATAAATACTGCTACCATGGTCAATTTCAAGATGTCAAAGCAATGTCAACCAAGTCATAAAATTCTTAAAATCTTATCCATTGGTTCTTGTGACTTTGTGAAAGCTGGCTACAGCTGTATTCTCTTGTTTCACTTAGCGCCAGGCTTACTGCTGAGCAAATAGGATGCATAACCATATATTTGGAGCTTATCCATATATTTGGATTCAAGGTTGCAAATTGTATATAAATATTTCCTCAGTCTACTTTCCAAAATCCAGTTGAAATGATGACACACAAAAGGTAGTATTTCCATAATAGTCCTTAAGCAAGAAAAAGTGCCAACAGTCAACGAGAAAATTCTACAAATTTATGAAAGACAAGAAAGCGGAGGGATGCCTACTGATGGATAAGCCGGAGGAAACCACACATTGAAACTAGCGCCAGTGAGGCTGCTATGGAGGTGGGAACCATTCTTCTCAGGAGGGTTCCAAGCTCAGCAGTTATGGAGCGCTTAAGTGGACAGTGGCGCCAGTGATCAGGATAATTAATTAAAGGCTAAGGAATACCTGAACCAGTCTGCCCACTGCCTCTTGTACAGATTTTTGAGCATTGTGTCCCCAGTTACAGGTATCAGAACTGCTTTTAAAACCAAGTCTAGGGCTTCCCCGGTGGCTCAGCGGTAAAGAATCCGCCTGCCAATGCTGGGAAGATCCCACATGCCATGCTGCAACCATTGAGCCTGTGCTCTGGGGCCCGGGAACCGCAACTACTGATGCCACATGCTGCAGTTACTGAAGCCTGTGCACTCTGGGGTCGGTACTCCACGCCAAGACAAGCCACCACAATGAGAGGTGCACGCACCGCAACCAAGAGTAGCCCTGCCCATTGCAACTAGAGAAGCACCTGCACAGCAGTGAAGACCCAGCACAGCCAAGAAATAGAGAAAAATTACTTAAAAAAAAAAAAGTACAATGTTTTTCTCGGAAGGACTACCCCCACCCTAACCCCACAATGTGGATATCTGAGGCTGAAGAAATGAGAGCAGAGCCTGTGAGATCTCGGACCTTTGAAAGGACTCAGAGGAGGGGATAATGGACAGAATGAATTACAATGTGTTTTAGCAGCCAAGTTGTAGAGGACGGCAAAGGCAATCTTCGGTGGCACAAATGAAGAGAAACATCAAAGGCAAGGCCTTATGTGGAGGCTGAGTGGCTGCATCCTTGCAGCAGGATTTCAGGGAGAGTTTGGTTTTCCTGGTCTGGAGGCCATTCCTTCTTTCTTGTTGCTTGCTTCTCCCTTTTCCCACCTGGACTGTGGTCATGAGGCTGGAAGCGGAATAGGCCAGTTTGTCACCATGAAACAAACAGAATGGTAAAACCATTCCTTAAGGATGGATGGGCAGGAAGATACAAGGAGCTTGAGGAAAAGGACAGGGATGATAGTATTTCTTCCCTGCTCTTGCTATTTCCAACCTTCTTATTATGTTAGAAAATGAAACTCTTCCAAATGAGGCCACTATAGTAAAGTTCGGTTGCATTGCTAAATAGTGTCTTGTATGTCTGGGATCTTGGATGGGAGAAAAACACCTTTGAGAAATTGCAACTCCAGGCCTGAGTCTATGGGGGCTGAATCTATACTACGTGCTTGACTCAGGAATCCTAAGTTGAGAAATAAAATTTAAAAATCAAGCCAGGATATTTGAAACCTCTCTAAGCAGTAAAAATGTACACTCACTCCATGGGAATGTTTTCACATCTCCTGGGAAGGAAACATAGTTAAAGATAAGTTCATAGTCAAAAATTACAAGGTCTATGAAAGAATAAAC